GTTGTTGTCAGTTGCCATCAAGTCGATTCTGACTCATGGTGACCCCATGTGTGCAGAGTAGAACTGCTCCATAGAGTTTTCAAGGCTGTGACCTTCAGAAGTAGATTGCCAGGCCACCTCTGGGTGGCTTCGAACTGCCAGCCTTTCAGCTAATAGTCAAGCACTTAACCATTTGCACCACCAAGGACTCCACTGATAACTTTATACATACATACATACAAACATACATATACATATATATTTACACAGACACACACACACACACACACACACACGGACTCACCACCCCACATCAAGACATAAAACATTTCTAACACCACAAGTTTCTTCATATACACTTATTCTGAGAAGTTGAATACTGATTTCATTTTAATGTTTGATTACAAGTAAATCTTCACAGTAAGTCTTTTAAAACACGAACCAGATCATAGTAAATAAGCTGCATGAGGCAAAGGCCCTTATTATGATTTCCCAGCACCTAGAACTTAATATTTAACAGACACTCAACAAATTTGTTGAATACTGAACAATGGCAACAAATTTAGCACTAAACATTGTTCAGAAAAAAAGTAACATTAATTAAACAGCATTTTTTAGGAAAGTCTTTAACTGAAGAGGAGAATCTCAATGGCCGTTTCTATATACAGGCATTGAAGGTACTATCATGTAGTTGAGTCAATGAGAAAATTACTCACCGTGGACTCTGAATTTATTCTTAACTTTTATCATTAATCTCTAGCCAAGAATTTTCTGGATATGACTATCAGAAGAACCGCTTAATTTAACACCTGCCTTTTTCTGTTTGACACAAACTAGAGCAATCATATTTGAACATTCTTTTTTCATGTTTCTGATCTATGTATCTTTAATTCAAACTTTCTGGAACCTTATGTCCTAGTCAAGGTCTTAACCTGAATATCTAGAAGAAGAAAAAAAATCCTTCTTCCAGTTCTACTCTCCAGATTATTAAGGCTGCCTGACACTGTTTTGGCAAGACAAAAACGTGGGGGTAGGTTAAACAGTAGGATGTCGCCAAGCCGCTGCAGTACAGCTGTAGTAGAAAGAATGGGGCAGAAAAAATAACACAGAATAACACTGGTTTCTACAAAACAAAAGATACAGCTGGGGTTTTCGCTCTACTTTGGCAGGACCTGAGAATTACATCCAATCCATGTCTACAGAGACAACATATTCAGTCAAGGAACAGAACAAAATCACTCCCAGATTAGGCTACATAAGTAAATAGTCTTCAGGCTGAGTGTCATGTAAATAGTCTAAACTAAAAACAAATGTTTTAAATCAGCTAAAAGCAGACAGCTTTAGTTGTTAGAATAATTTCAATTTTGGTAAACACCGTTACAGTTTAAAATGGATTGCTGTCTGCCAATTTCCTTTCTCATTCCAATTATATTCACTATGTTCAGTCAACAAATTAATACAGTAGCAGTAGCATCAGAGAGGTATTTTTAAGCCTCCTGACAATATGAAAACAAGAAAGTGGGGAACGAACATTCTTTTGAGTATAGTCACTATGCATCAGGCATTGTGCAAACCACTTGACACAGGCTATCTCATTTAATTTCCTCAAAACTCCTACAAGTAATTCCAGTGCTCTAATTAGATGAATGCTTGATCTCTATTTTTTATAGTTTGTTATATGCTAAATAAACACTAAAATCAAAAGGCAAGACCAAAGTGATGTTAACGTGTTGGAAGACTGCTGTTACATGCTTTGGTATTTACTAAAATTTTAAGACCACTCCAGGACTAATGAGTACTACTATTTTCTGAGCACCAATTATGCACCAGACACTGTGTTAAGGGCTTTACATTTAATCATTGTAATTTTTTATGAAGCTATTGTGATCCTAACTTCACAGATGAAAAACATGCATATCAGAAATTAAGTGACTTGAAAAGAGCCTATAATCACAAAGCAAGAAAGTAGCAGAATCAAAATCTACACCGGGTCTGTTTCCTAGATCACATAACTCTGCACATAATACACTCTGCCACCTCTTTCCTGGATTACTCTTTAAAAAAGAAAAAAGAAAGAAATATACTAATTTAAAAACAAGAGTAGAGATTACAAAGATAATGTCATTTTAACACTGGGCATCCATGCATGAACAGCCATCACAAAGTGGGCAATGCTTTTGGTCTACTCCCTCAGCTTTGACTTGCTCATTTGTAACCTCTTTTCTAGAGTCCTCCCAGCAGTGATCTGATCAGCAAATTTCTGCTTGGCTTAATCGCAATTCTACCTGCTCCTGATTTGCTTGCCTTCTCAATTCTCCTGACTGCCGTTCCCACTAGTTCTTTGAGTTTTATCAGTAAAACAGCACTCCCTTCAGTTAGAGTCCCTGGGTAACACAAACAGTTTGCGACTGGCTGCCAACCTAAGTTGGTGGTTCAAACCCATCCAGTAGCTCTGGGGAAAACAGATTACAGACAAGAAAATGGAGCAGTTCTACTCTGTAACACATGGGGTCGCCATGAGTCGGAATCGATCTTGTGTGTTGTTAAGTTTGCTTTATAAATCAATATGAAGACATAGGAATCTAATACATATAAGTTAATTTACATTCATTGTTTAACTATATTCATACTCATAATGGAAAATGTGCACCATTCTTAAAAAAACACAACTGTTCATGCAACTAGAAATCCTATTTAAAAGCTCTCAAGTCACAATTAACATCCAGAAGATTTTAAGTCTAAGAGATATTTATATTTGCTAATTAACTAAGACCATACAATAGTACTAACAGAAGTTTTAGATTTCTCCAAACTTCAGAAATTCTATTTCTACATCAGTGTAACTCAGGGTTTTAAATCTCAGCACTATTGACATTTTGGGCCAGATAATTCTTTGCAGTGGGAGGCTGCCTTGTGCATCGTAGGATGTTTATTTTAGCAGCATTCCCAGCTTCTACCCACTGGAAGCCAGTAACACACAGCCCAGTTGTGACAACTAAAAATGTGAGCAGACACTGCCAAATGTCCCCTGGGGGACAAAATCACCCCAGTTGAGAACTACTGGTTTAACTTGATCTTATACATTAAAACTAGATACTGAAATTGTAATATCTGCCAATAAAATAGTCCAAAACTCTAATCTACATTCTTATGAAGAACAGGAAAAAGTTAACTGATGTCCTCAGGGAGTAACTTTGAGAATTTCAGGGCATTCTAGAAAAACCTGGCCTTTTGCACAATCCTAGGAACAAACAGCTCCACAAAACAAATGCCTAATAAATAAATAAAAATAAATATCTAAACTATTGGGGGCGGTTTGAGCACAACTGAGGTACTGATACATGAAGCAGGATGGAACAGAATACTGGTGCTTACTTATCTGCTCATTTCTTTCTGTTTTCAGCTCATGTTTAATCATTTCATCAACAAAAGGAATTACCACCACAAATTATTTGTGGTATCATATTTTTACTAGTAAACGCAGGCAGAATGTGTCCTTTAACAAATGTCTACTCAGTGTAAAGCATTGCTGGGGATAGAAATAAGAATACGACAGTACTAATTTTGATGTAACATAAATGTTGGAAGAGTTTCAAAGCTCTGAAAAAAGGAAGCTTATGTTAATAACAATAACAGAAACTCCACCCCACTCCACCCTTGGATGTGTCATGAAACTGGATGAAATTCAAAAAGTTACCACTTTTGGTCACATGCAAGTTTTAGGCAAAGCTCAACTACAAATGATCCATTTGCTATAGAAATATTTTCTTGGGAAAAAAGTCTCAGTGTATATGTCTTGTATTATCCCTGCTGGAATTTGATGTAGTGTTTAAATTATTATAGGCCTCAAGTCATAGTCAAACGTTACTTATCTACTTCTATGATGTTTTACCACCTCCTCTGTACTGGAAATACCAATTTAATTTGTCCCCTAACTGAACACATAATACCTAATTTCTATTTATTTTGTTACTAGTATTTTGATCATTTTTCCATATACTTGTTCACTAATTACGTGTTCCTCTTACCAATACGGAGCTCTGGCGGCGCAGTGGTTAAGAGCTCGGCTGCTAACCAAAAGGTTGGCAGTTCGAATTCACCAGCCGCTCCTTGGAAACCCTATGGGGCAGCTCTGTTCTGTCCTGTAGGGTCACTGTGAGTTGGAATCAACTCAGCGGCAACGGGTTTTGATTTTGGTCCTGCCTTTAATCTTTACTTCTGGCAAATGTTGCCCTTTTGGTCTGGTATAATTGTTTATTCTATTGAGTACATTCTTTTCAGG